TGGCAAAAAGCAGAATCTAAATTAAAAATTGGAAATAAAAGTTTATCAATTATTTTGTATTCTGATGCAACACTTTGTGATAACTTAGGAAAAATTCATCAGTATCCAGTTTTTCTTACTTTAGGAAATATTCCTTCTTGGGAAAGAAATAAAAAAGATGCTAAAGTAATATTAGGGTATATGCCAATTCTCCAAAGTAAAAACAAAGCAACTGATTATTTTCGCCAACTTACACGTAAAATAGAAATGCAGTGTTGGAGTATTATGCTTCGTCCTATTTTAGAACTTGAAGAAATGGAGTTTACAATAAACAATACACAAGTTACATTTTCTCCAAGAATATCTGTATTTATTGCAGATATGTTAGAAGCAAATGCAATTACATGCACTTACAAATCAGCTATTTGCAAGATGCCATGTCCAAACTGTACTGTACTTGTTGAAAATTTAAATAATATGAATCTTTCAAAAGAAGACATAATTTTACGAACACCTGAATCAATGGCTTTTGTTATTCAAAATAAAGAAGCTCATGATTATTCAATTCATGATCAAAAAAATATCTTTTGGAACTTTAGGTAAATTTATTTAAACTTTAATAAATATATTTTAAATCAATAATAACATCAATTTTTTTCTAATTTATAAGGGACCTAAATATTTATGAGGCAGTTTTACCTGATAGAATGCACCATTTGGATTTAGGACTCTTTAAGTATATGTTAGATTATACACAGATTCTTTTAGCTGAACAATGTGGAAATTGGGTAATTGAAGAGTTTAATACCGGTTAGCAGCAATTCCCAAGTTTCCTGGATTGAAAATTTTTAATAATGGAATTGCTGCTGTATAAACAGCAGATGAATACCGAATGGTAATGAAAGTAATTATTTCAGTAATTGATGGTATATTTGATGACAAAGATCCATATGTTAAAGAACATAAATTTAAAAGTAAAAATATATATATATCATCAACAACTTGCTTTAGTATATTTTTTCTTTATTCGTATGTATTTAATGAGTCGTAAAGAAGAATTCTCAGAAGATGATCTAAATGAATTTGAGGTAAAATAGTATTCAAATATTTTTTACAAATGAACTATTATTTATAATTGAATATTTTTAATATTTGTAGAATTTAATTACAATATGGAGCTGTGAGTTTGTAAATGTTTTTGCTAGATTTAATCCTAGTAATTTACGTCTACCAAAATTACATTCTTGGAGATATCATGTTATTTCTGCAATTTGTCAATTTGTTGCAATTAATGGATATACCAGTGAAACTTATGAGACCTTACATAAGTTTTATGTTAAAAATCCTTATCGGAAAAGTAATAAAAAAGAAGTTATGAATCAAATTTTAAATAGGGTATGATATTTTGTTTTTATAATTAAAATTAAATAGAAGTTTTGTTTATTTAATTCAAGAATAATACATATTATGATAGATTTGACAAAAAGCCTTAACAGAAACTATAAAAGAAACTAAAACTAGAGTAAAAGGAAAACTATCGGGTATACTTTATAATATATGTTTCTCCTTATTTGAGAACCATTCAGAAATTTTTCAGCAATTAGAAATAACGAATCCTTTGCAACTTGAGGGAATGGAAAATCTACATTCTTCTCTTAACACTTTTATAGATAATATGTCTATAACTTCTTTAGATAAAGACAAATGTTTTATACAACTATATAAAAGTGCAACATTAGTATCAATGGATATTATTCGTGCAGATCCATCTTATAATCATATCCCATGGTTTAGTGATGTTGCTATTGTAATGGAAGAAACAGAGGCTGTTAATTATATTACAGATCAAGGTGCATGTTTTGGAAAGGTTGGTAATAGTTTAAAAATTACTATTTTTTTAATATTATATTAGCTGTCACCCGTTGCTTCGCACTGGGACCAATGAGTTTTTTAAATAGAAAGATTTGGTATTATAATGTAATACTAAGTAAATTAAAGAAGTTTTTTGTTTATAATTAGGAATTTAATATGGTAATAATTGTAACAAAAAATATGTATTAAATTATATTTATAATATTAGAATGATATAAATAATAAAGGAAATAATAATTTTACGCAGGTGCGTTGCAACGTACCCCCTTTTTTGGAAATTATTAAATAGTAAATTTGCTGATCATAACGTGATTATAAATGATCGACAAATTTACTATTTAAAAATTTCCAAAAAAGGGGGTGCATTCAAACGCAGGTGCGTTCAAATTTTAAAGTCAATAATAAATTATTTTTAGAATAATGTAGCTAATTTATATTAATGATTTGATGTTTGAGTGTAGAGTGAAATTCGGATTAATTAGGAATTGTGAAAAAATAATTATCAATAAAAATTGATTAATTTTTTAGAAGTATTTTTGAAAAAACTTTAATATTATGAAAATACTACAAATATTTTTATTAATTTTTTATATTACGTCAATTTTAAACTTATAATCAACCTAAGAAAAATATTTGAACAATTAAATATTAGAAATCTGTTCATTTCATTTATTATTATTCTTTTGATACTCATTTTATTCGATAAATTATTAATTTAACTAAACCATTTGAATTAAAATTTTTATTCAAAAATCTGGTGATTATTTAGAGAATTTCGGATATGGATTTGGTTATAATAGTCTATTATTAAATCAACAATTTCTTTAATTAATTAATTATAAAATATTGTAAAAATATCAATTTTTTTTTGATTTTTATGAATTTGAAAATCATCCAGCGTTCAATTTAATTGAAAATCTTTAATCATCTTTCTACATGTTATTATTGATTTTTTTAAAAAAATTGAAGAAAAAAAAAATTAAATATAAATTTAGGGGAAAGAAAAAGGATAAAGAAAGAAATCGGTTCAAAAAAAAAGGGAAATTTCCGAAAAAAAAGGAATCTAAAAAAAAAATAAGTATCGAAAAAAATTCTGACAAAAAAAAAAATTTCAGTTTAGGAAAAAAAATTAAACCTAAACGGGAAAAGAATGGAAAAACAAAAATTTTAAAATTTTCGGTTTGAAAAATAAACTAAACCGAAAGAAGAAAGGGAGAAAAATTTTTTTTCAGTTTGAAAAAAAAAACGAAAAATTTAAAAATTAATAATCAAAAAAAAAAATTTCTGATTAAGGTAAAAGGAATGTACAGTACACGGATAAATAGATCAGGTGGAGGCATGTCACGGGTTTTAATTATATGGCATAGATTTCAAGTTACACAATTCAAATTATTAATCCAAATGTCAGACAAATTTTTTTAGTTATATAGTTTTTTTAGTTATATAGATTTATCAAAAAATTTATTATTGATTTAATTAAACAAATTTCACAAATTTATTAGTCGGAAATAATATTGAAAAAATCAAACAAAAAAAGTTCTCACTAAATCGAAAAAAAAAATCTCAATAAACAAAAAAAGTTCTCACTAAATCAAAAAATTCTCACTAAAAAAAAAAAATTTTCACACGAATTTATTAGTCAGAAACAATAAAAAAAATCTCACAAAAAGCCGTAGGACANCTTCTAAGACTTCTAAGAGGTACACGAGTAGTTTGAGTTATTGAATTGGTTTTTCTTCCCTTTCCTCTTTTTTTACTAGATCTTTCCATATCTGCCATGATTATTTTTAATAGTTGTATTGTAAAAAAAGGTTATTAAATGAAAAAGAGAGAATTAAATAGGGATGGAAAGAAGATTTAAAATAACTTTACTGTATTTATATGATCATGAGTTTATTAATAGCTTACTAATAAGTTTAATTGAAGTACTAATAAGTTTAATTGAAGCATATTTATACGTCATTTTGACCTCATTTTGCATCTCTGTGTAGCCCTTATTTTAATTTGTATACTGTATAATAATTTTATGAATATGATTGCTAAAGTTCACCGGTAGTGATAGTTACCGTACCAGCATTATAATGTACTTTCAACCAGAATTAAAAAATCTAATAAAATACTGGCCAGTATTACATCATATTGATGACCAACACCACTGGTGATGTTTAGCAATATCCTAATTTTATTATGATACAAATTAATATATATGAATTTCAGTTTAATATTTAATCTATGTACTATTATTAAATGACTGTACTGTATTAAATAATTATGATATCATTACTGACAATTATATCATTTATATTATATAATTGCACTATATAGTTATTTCTTCCAGTTATTATTAAATATTTATGTAACATTGTTTCTCTTTAGGTCCAATCCTGCTTTGATTTTATGGATGTTCTCGGCTATTAATGTTAAAAAGTTATGATGTAGTACCATTAGATTCTATAACACACAGTGTTCATATTATACCAAGATTTCATAAAGAAAATGAATTTTTGATGAATAGAAATATTTTCTAAATTGTATATATATTATCATTTCTTGGTTCAAATATTTAGTATTATATATTGTACTAATAAAGTTTTAAAATGATAATTATATTAACACACGTCGGTCATGTCACATGACATGCCGATCATTAATACAAATTTCGTGTAATGATAAATTACGCGAATTTCAGTACTATAACAACATAAAAATTTTTCAAGTAACATACCCTTAAACCTTAATGGACTTTTGTTTCTCGAGGTTTAATTTATACGTTCTTATACTTTTCTTTGTAATATAAAGCTTGTATGAACAGTTTATATAATACCTACTTTTCCTATTTTTTTGAACTTAACCCCCAGATGCAAGTTTATATCAAAACAAAATACGATCTTATATTACCAATTATATGTAGTTTTTTATGTACGATCGAAAAGCTTACTCGCTAAAAGAAGGTTAGATTATTAATTTTTGCTAAAATTGTACGATTTTTATTTTTTATTATTTAATTAACCGATAATTGAAATTATTTAAACTGCATTTTTGAAATTTTTTTATGTATTATTTATTAATTTGTAAAATGACATTTATTTAACAATAAAAACACTAGACTAACAAAATATCAAAGAAAATATTCTAAATAATGTTAGTACTTATATATTATTCACTAACTTTAGATTTACGATACCTCCATGCTGCTTTAACTTTAGCTTTATTCCAATCCTACTAAGAATCTCATTAATAGCCGAGTCTGGTAGTTCTTCTTTATAAACCAACAACTCTTCAAGTATTTTTTCTTCTTCTGGAGTTGTTTGTTTACTACGCTTTTTCTTTGGCACTTTTATCGGATTATTTTGGCTTTCAGGTATGTATGGTGATTCTAAATTATCCGCCTGGTTGCTTGATCCACTTACTTGTTGGGATGACTTAATTCCAGTCTTATTTTTTGATTTTTTTTTGATTAGAATCTTTAACCCTTGTTCTGACTACTTCTGTCTTCCTCCTACCCCGTGCATTTCCGCATTCTATTTCTAGAACTTCTTGTCGATAAACTGCTTTAATTCGCTCTAATCCTTTCTCATAACATGCAATCAGACATTCAACTCCTTGATGATGCAATTCTGTTGGCGGATATTCCTTAAATAAATTATGGGATAAAGGATCAGACATTCCAAAAACATTTATCAAATCATCTACAAGATTCTATAGTGATTCCCTTCATGATTCACTAGTTTGTTCAGTATGCAATACTGTGTTATTAACTTAGTATCTAGGTATTCATATAGTAGTAAATCAATCCTTTCTCTTTCATCCTGGCATGCTTTAATTTGATTTCTGAGATTTTTCTCATCAATTGTATTCCCGGTAATATTCTGTTTAATATATTTAACCCCAAAGGTCTATAGCGCTTCATCAAATCCAAAACAAGTATAGAAAGGATCATTTTCTTCATTTTTTTCACGTGGAATTTTAAAAGAGCCAACGTGATGTAGATTTTCCTCTAATTGTGGATGAGCAGCTATATTTGAAAGAAAGTGAGCAATCGCAGTTGTATAATTAGATTTAGCAGCACTAGCAAAAAGAGGTACTAAAGAATCTCTTTGAATATTAAAATTTCCTATATGAATTCCCATTCTATGAGCTTTCCAGATACCTGCCCATTTATAATAAAGATACCAAACTTTAAGACAAATGTGAGTATCATTTTTACCATCCATGATTGCTGAAAAAGGTATATTTTTTGAAGTAATGTAAATATTAATTGCTATTCCTACAGCAATCCATAAAAGATCCAGAATTCTAGCTGTTAAACGGTAATCAACTGCAATTTCAAATTTATCCAGAAATCTTACACCAAGACGTGAAGCTAAGCTTAATAATCCATAACTTGAAAATAGAACTAAAAGTACTGAGCAAAGTCTTTTGAGGTATGCCATTGACCTAGATGAGGTCT